ATATAGTCAAGGAGTCCCCAGAATCATAGCAACTTTGGTTGCTCATGCCAACTCTAGAACTCGGTATTCACTTGCTCTTTCACTGCATGCAGCATTGTTTTACAACATCCCATGTGCTTTGCATCACACTTACCACTACCCGTCCTCAAGGTGCATAAACTTAATTTGTTGTATTTCTACTGTGCTTCAATCAACAAGAAGTAACCTCTGTAACAGCAATGGCTGCTAAGGCCAGTAGAAAACTGTCATTAATTGGTATCCAAACAGTGCTACCACAGATTTGGTACATTTCTGGAGCTCTGTTACTTGACTGAAGTTTTGAGATGCATTTTATGGCTGGGCATTTGTATCTGTTAAATAGACTACCAGTTTAAACCAGCTCTCTTAGAGAGCTTAAAGTTCGGAACTACCTTTCCTCAGCTTAGAAGTGCAGCTTAAAAGGATGGAAACATCACAGGTGGTGATTACTCTAAGCAGGCTGAACACTTGAAGTGCAGGGATTTAATCCCCCAGCCCTGAATCAGGGTTGACATGTGGGTGATGTCCACAACCAGGCAGGATAGACCCTCCTGATCGGTTTTCACACAGGGTCTGCCTGGCCTTGCCTGCGAACCAATTAGGACATCACCACCAGGTGCCCCCACCTTCAGCATTAATGTCAGGTGTCCTGCTTTTATGCTAACAGCGTAAAAGCTGGCTCTGCCTGCAGTGGGGGTGTGTGGTTGGTTTGTTTAATTTAATATGTGTAGTGAGTACACTATGTAGGATTTCCTGTTACTGACAGGGCTCCCAGTGATGGTGGGACACCAATAGGGCTGGGAGCAGGGGGAAGAACGCATCCATAATAATGGCCCTGTTTCACAGTCATGGCTATGCAGTTGGAGTTGGACTGGTCACTTAGTTTCTCAGTTTGCTCCTGTGTTCAATTCATCTTGCACGGTGAGTGAATATATAAACCTTTTTATTCCTCTGGTGTCTGGCCATCTCATATCCTTCATATCTTCTGTGTATAATTTAGAAACAGAAGGAAAGATATGGCCTGTATGCTGTTTATTGATGAGAATATTTTTCCTATTGGCTATGCAGTCAGCAAAAGAACACTGCAGGAAAACCAGTTCTGACTTTTGCTTCTGTTACTCATATGTAATGGATGATTTACACAACAAAATTTGGCCTTCTATCACATTTTTCTTTCCCAAATATGATAGCAATTCTTCCTTATGCTGCTGCTGCATTTCTATTGGTAGCTTGTCAGTGATGCTTGCAAAAATGTCAAATGATCTCATTTAGCTAATGAATAACGCTGCCAGCTAAACTAGCTCTCAAGGACAGAGCTGACTACATAGAAAGTCCATCAAATCAGTGTTTGTCTTGACAAGAGGAGTACAGATAAGATAGAGTAAAGGTCACAACTTGTTCTACTTGGTGTTTGTTTCCAAGCAACCTAGTCAGTTTGTCTTTGGTTACAGCACTCTGGGTTGAATTTGTCTTGTTTTCCTGCCTCTGCAAGTAAGGCACTGAAGGTGTCAGTCCCTCTGGAAATGAGCTGCTGTCCTCCACATTAGGTGGCTGACAAAGCTTCTGCTCTGCTGGCAGGAGGCTGGGAAGCAGATCCACAGGAGAAGCTGGTAGTAACAGAGCTGTTTGGAGTCAGAGATTTCAAACTAGCTCTTGCCCAGAGTGAAAAATGTAAATGTAATTTAAAAACCCCAAGGAACTGTTCCAAGTTTGCAGGTGTGCGTGTGTGAGCACACATGAGTGTTTTGAGACTGACAAGAATGGACCAGCCCTTGGTTTTGTGCAGTGGTCATGCTGAAACAAGAGACAATCCACCCAACACAGTGCATATTAGCAGTTTAAGGAACAGCTGAATGAACCAGTTGGGGCTGTGTGAATACTAGAATAGTATTCATGGTCAGTAACCAATATAAATTAGGTACCAGAAAATACCAGTGATGCAGGGAGTTTGCAGAGATGACACGATAGCAGCAAAACCAGACTCGGGTGACTGTGAGTGATCTGCTGGAGCTTCACACAGAATTAGTTTTGTAGTTTTTCTGCTTTTTTTGGCACCAGTTATAAAGGCTTCTTCAGCCAGATGAGAAGCTGGAAGCCTGATGCTGCTAAGGCATAAGGAGTGCTCAGGGTGCTCTCTGGGTGCAGGAGAGCTCACAGAACATCAGAAAACTAGACTGACTTTACAGGGGCAACCACATTACTGGGACCATTCTTCATAGGAAGTGTCAGGGTATCTGTCTCAGATTGGTGTGTCAGTAAAGAGGTTATAGAATAACACACTAAAATGAGCAGTAACACATTCCCAGGACCAGGTACTTGTGCAAAATTATCAGTTGTGTCCAAAAATAAAATAGGTAATTTTCTAATTATGATGTGCTATTTCTTCCTGGAAACATGACACTAGAAAATTGGGAGGTAGCTAATTTGATGCTGGTTTCAGGAGAGAGTTAAGGAACATACTGACCAAGAATTGCTGTCTTTACTGGCCAAATTGGCAAGAACTGTAATGCAGACCCAAGAGATATACACATTGGGAAGGAATCAATGAAGTTTCTGTAAGCAGAAGTAATTCTTCATAAATTCATTAGTTCTTTGAAGTATTCAGCAACCCTGAGGACACAGGAAATCCAGCTGATATAGTTTAACTTTAGAAGAGATTTCACCACATGCCTTTCAAAGGCTCTTAAGAGGATATAATCTGTGAGGGTAAGCAGGAAGGTCCTTGCAGGGGTAAATAGTTAAAAGAACAAAGAAGGCTAGGCAGAAATAGTTGGGTTTTACAGTGGAAAATATTATTAATGGTTTATGCATTTCAATATGTTTTTAAATTATGTGGAAAAAGAATAGTTGGCTGACCACATTCAGTGATGCTACTAAGAGTGCTAAAGCAAAGACTGACTCAAGAATTGCCAAAGGACCCCGTGCTGCTGAGTGAGAGGGCAAAAAACCATCAGATAAAATTCAATAGTGACAGAACAAAAACAAGGCACAAGGAGAAAACCCAGTCCCAACAACACTTACAGTAACGGGCTCTGAGTTTATTAGTACCATTTGCTAATGTTTTTATATTATGCCAAAGAAAATCCAGCACAATGCTACTCAGCAGTCCAAAAATAGCATATTGAATACTCAAACTTTTAAGGGAAAAAAAAAAAAGGGAGCACATTATTCCACTGTGGGTACCTGTGGTGTCCCAGCATCTTAACTAGTATTTGAAGTTTTACTGTGCCAATTTCATAAAGGCTGTAGTGAAATTAGAAACTGTGCAAAGACAGCAACAAGGATAACTGAATGTATGGACCAGTTTTATATGTGGAATGTTTAAACAGCTCAGGATAGTGACTGAAAACAGAATCTGACACATCTATTAAACTACAATGGCAAGGGGATGGTGAATAGTTTTGAACACAGTACAAAAATTAGCAGGCAGAAGCAGTAGGAGAAAACAAACTAATGTATTTCTTCTAACAATGCATAGTTAAACTACCAAATTTAATGCAGGATGTTGTGGAAGTTATGATTTTATGAGAGTTAGAAAAGTGACTGGAAAGAAAAAAAATCTATTGAAGGCTATTAAATATAAAGACATAACTCTTGGGAGTTCATGAACTTCATTTCAGTGGATTCTTGATAGGACTCAGGGGAAGTCCACTACACACTCATCATTACTTTATAGTTTTCCCCAGCACTCTTCTCAGCCAGGTAGAGGAGGGTATGGGACTAAATCGTCTGGCCCACCACCTCTGTTCCTGTGCAGTGAGGAAAAGGACAGGAACGTGCCTACTCAAGCTGGTCACAAACCAGCATTACTGTTTGTAACACAACTAATACTAAAATCCTCTATTAGAAAGAGGGCAGGCTGTGCTGATACAGCATCCTGGCAAGGGCCAGGCGAGTACCTGCAGGGGTCATGGAGTACATGAAGGGCTGATTTTCTTCTGTGATCCCAATGGCTATTGAAATCCATGGATATATACTAGGAGGGCACCATTTTGTGTACTTTGTGCAACCATTCTTGGAAAACCACATGCACAATTTAAAGAAGGATGTTAATTAAACTGGAAAGTTTACTTGCACATACAGAGCACTGCGAAGCACTTTGCGATGTTCTGTGTTTTGCAGTTGTGTCTTAAATGCTCTGGGGAACAGGATGAAGTGTCTCATCTCCCTCTGGTGATGACCCACAGGCCACCACTGATAGAACAGCCGCACCAGTGACAATACATTTGGGAAAAAAACAGTGTAAAGGCAGCCTGAGAGTGTCTCTCTGTCTCTCAGCTTCTTCGAATAAGCAAATTCAATGCCTCTTCTCATGGAAATGTAACAGCCCCAGGCTACTGCCACTGATACACTGCTTCAGATAGTTACTCCTCCTCTTAGTAATTACTGGGTTTGGAATTACAGCAGGGACAATAATAGCAGTTTTGAGGAAGTTTGTTAACTATCTTCAAGTACAAAATATTTTTTGGAAAACACTAACAGGCAAACTGCTCAAATAATGCTTTCCATTAAGAGTTTTCTTAGTTCTGCTGGTCTCCTTGGGGGTAAATATTCAGTTGTGTAAATATGAAAGTTAGTTGTCCTGCTTTTAGAACCTGTATGAGTAAGAAAATACCATTTTTTTTTTTTTTGGTAATACAGTGCTAATATTGCTAAACACTGAGTCATCATTGGAACTGCCTACTAATTTCCAACAAACCACAACTAGGCAAACCAGATACAGGCAGAGGATTTTCATGAATATCCTCAAATATGTAATTTGAGCTTGGGAGACTTGGCTGATAGATGTATTATTATATAAAAACAGGTCTTAATATAACTATTAGAATATGAAGGCTAGTTCAGAGAGCTGGTACTGAAAGCACACTACAGGTACTTTGTGCTGAGCTTGACTATACTCTCATTATACCTAACTCACACAAGCCACATCAGATAAAAAGGGTAGCTGATTTGTTACAATTCTGTCCTTTATTTCTTGATAGGAAGAACTTGTTCATCTTGAAGGCAGTGCAATGGATGTACATATTAATTGGCTTAAGGAAGAATATATGAAAACTCAGAAGGACTGGAAAGAAGTGGATAACAGAATGAATGTGACAATAGAGATACGGAGAAAGATGATCAGCAATAAGGCACCATTAAAAGACATTCTTAGACTATTTCCTTTCTTAAGATGCCCTTATCAGGTAACACTGTTCTTAATAATGGCATTGAATTCTGTGTTATAGAAGTGATACATCTGCAGGCATGTATTTTACTGAATGTTGTCAGTGCTAACCCCACTTGGAGAGATTCACTAGTCCTGTGTCACATGCCCCACCACTGGGTTATTTGAAGTATTTTGGTGTTACTCAATATATTTCTTCCCTGCTTTGAAAAGAAATGAAACCATCCCCCCCAGTTTTTAATCTTATTTTACTGAGCTAGTTTTATCCTTCTTCAAAGTGTGTGCCTCATGTTGTTTTCAGTTTTGGTTTTGAGGACTGCAATAATGCCAAGTATTTATTTTTCTTTTAGCTTTTTAGGGAGTTCCAGCTTCTCACACACATGGACATTCATAAGAAAACAACTGAGATTTTGGAGATTTATTCAGAAAACATATTATCTTTGTATGTGGTGAGGAATAATCCAATTAACATTATGCTGCAAGAAAATCTGAAGCGGCACGCAGAGGAAGACATTCTGAAATGTCAGTACAAATTTTCTACTCTCTGAACATCGGAGTTTTGTTGTAGCTAATTGTTCTTACTTATGTGACTAAACTAGCTCCAGTTTTACTGCAAAAACATTTTAAAAATGCCAAGAGCCGCTTGGAAAACATATAATGATGTGGAAGCATTAAGAATAAAAGCTAGTGAATTGCTAGGAAAATAGTTATTGAAACTTTTTTTTTTCTGTTGAATTAGACTGCAGGTTTGCTCAAGTTAGTAAATGCCTTAAAATAAGTATTGCTAGATGAGCAGAGTTACATATTTCTAGATACGTAAAAAAGTGCTTGTTTTCTAAAAATACACACAAACCCCCTAATTTTATGGTTTAGAAAAATAAATATTCCCATCAAAAAGAGGCAATTTCCTTTAGAAAGAGAGGTACTTTTTCTGTGGTTAAAGTCTTTATTTCAGTGAAATAAAAGGAGTTACAACTGTGTTTCAAGTGCCTCATCTCTGCAGAGACACATTGCAGGAAGAAGGGATACCTCTGGTGAGCAGGTACCACAGTCATGCAGAGAGATCCGTGTACCTCAACGTGTTCAGCTTGCTGCCTGCAAGGGAGTGAGCACCTGCTGCCACCCCGCTTTGACTCTGAGAAGTCTGGGGAGTGTGGCTCTGCAGGGACGAACCCTGGGAAGCAGTCAATCAGAATTGTTGCTCTTCCCAAAGTGCAGCCTATGTCTAAGCTTAGCTCTGCGAGACGTGCTCCTTAGACTGCCATTTTCTATCAAACAAGTGTAATGCCACGATGTCAAATCAGAGGTGACACAGTAAGAACATGTGTGTTTCCTAGAACAGTTTCTGTCATTTTATTACCAGGCCATTTCTTCAAGAAGCAAGCAGAGTAGGTTAAAATATTTGGGTTATTTCTTTCTTTAAGCTTAATAACACAAGTACTCAATAGCTCATCATAGATCAAGAAGTGTCAACAAGCACCCTAATCCAGAAAGCCTTTATGGACTTTCTACTCATACCTTAGAATGGCCTTAGAAAGGTATGGACATTGTAAATAATTTATCTTTTTCTTATACAATATGCCCATAAAGATTTTAACTCATACCCAAGGCCTTTACTTTCCTGTTTTTCTCTCACAAACAGCTTGACCTGGTACCTAGATAATAAATGCCTGACAAGCTAGGTTCAGTGAAACACACGACACTACGCGCCTGACCTGCAAAAAGATGTTACAGTCTATAATAGCCGAACCAGAGGGGTAGTGGGGACCATGTCCCATGAGGTCCTGCAGCACCACCTTGTACTGTAGCCTTCAAAGTAGATTCCTCTGGCAACAGGACTCCTCAGAGATACCCGATCTGCTGGGAAGAGAGGAATTTGGGGATGGGCAGTGGGGGAAGCAGGACTATTCAGCTCACAAACTCCACCAGAAGCAACCCAAAGGCTTATTTACTTATTGTGAGAGAAATCTAATTGTAATATTGAATAGCAATCATGAATGATTTGAGTTGAATACTAATGCCCATTGCCAGCTGAGGCGCCTAAACCTTCACTGGGGTACAAACTACTCTTGAAAATGGACTGAACAACAGTTCCACTGCTGAGCTGTTAACATAGGCTGCAGCCTGCTTTTCCAGGATGATACTGTGGTGCTAGAATGTTTTGATTTCTTATCTAGTATAAATCCTTGCCTTTGACAGATATGAAAATGACTGCTGCATGCTTACTCCTGCCAGATGTCTTTGGAGATGATTCCAGTCTGTTTGCTGCAGTGAATGAGGAGGTAAGAGACAGACCACCAGCAGCCTTGGTCTCCTTTCCTTGGATAAGCTGCCTGGGCACATGACCTGACCTTTCGGTGGCTGAGCTTAGTTCCTAGAAAAAGATGACATTAGTCTGCCTTGTGGATAGAAAGCAAATAGTCATAGAAATACTAGCTAAGTTCAAAGCAGCATTATTACATTTACTCAAATCCCTGATCTGTTCACCGAAGCAATTCTGCGGCATCATTTGAAATATCCTTTTTTTAAATTCAGGTAAAGGCAGTGACACCAGTACTGGAAGTAAAAAATCCCTTTGATGTGAATTCGAGTGAGTTTGCACTGTATGTGGAAAGAGAAGAGCTAGCCCAGCTCGATGACTGCACCATGGGCCTGGCTGCGCTGGTGGCTGCCTTTCATGTGTTCGGTATCCCATGCCCCAAGAGAATCCACAGGACACTGAACTTCCTCGAGTCCCTGGTCTTTGAGGTGAGGAGCTCAGCATCCTTGCCCAACCAGGTAAAGAGAGAGCTGGAGGCACCAGAGTATCCCAGTATCTGATGGTGTACACAGCACTCGTCTTGGGAGCATTTGACTTTTTCTCAAAATAGATCCCTTTGTTGTGAAGATGAATCAGTGCCATTCTGGTGAAAGTGTGTATGTATTTATAACAGTTATGTTTAATAATGCCTTTTAAAAAAAAAATATATTGGCTACTTTTAAAAGAAATTTAAAACCTAAGCATTTTCATTATTTTAAATGGAAATTCTAGACCAATCTAGAGGCATTAGATATAATAAAAATTTCTAGATTATTGCACATGTCATGTATTATTTTTCCATATGGAGCATTTGACAAATGCACATATTTGGACAGCCAGAACTTAAAAAGCACACTGTAAGCTTATCTGAGCACTTTGCTGCTTAAGATGCTAATACAAGTAATGTTTTGAAGTGGCATATGTTAAAGATTTGTTACCATCATTTTGCTACTGAAAGCCTACTATAATAATTTTTCTGGTTTTTTTGTTTTTTTTTTTTTTAAGGTGGGCCTGATCTTTAATTTAGAGGATGATGAGTTTTCACTGTTTTCTCCCTGCATGAAATGTTCTTTTTAACATTAAACCTGGCTAAATAGGGATTCTGAGATGAGCTCTCAAAGTAGCAAGAATGACTTATCTGGGATACTGCCATGTGCATTTCTAACCAGAGCTTTGATGCCAGGGAGAGAACACCTCATTTTCTTTCTGGATTTGTTCCCCAGACCAAATCAGCCTTCTTCACATGGTGACTCTCCTGCCTGCCCATACAGAGCGGAGGCCTTCTCCTCTCTTCTTCCACAACCTCCTCTTCACTCCTGCATGCTGGAAAATCCCAGGGGTTACTTCCTGGCAGTGCACGGCTTTGGATAAGTGCCTACTTACAGACAGTAACACTACATTAATTAGAAATTAAAATATCTCTTTATTAAAACACTGTTCTACTGAAGAGATAATTATCCCCAGTTCTAAAAATGTCTGTATAGGCAAAGCAGCATTTGTGGTCACCATGATTCTTTAAACAAACACTCAAATACAGCTTGGACAACCACAGAAGTTTTGTTAAAGCCTGTGAGGGGTGATGCCAATGCAGATACCACAGTGGGAGACCTGCGGTATGAGGGGAGAGTGCTGCATTTACTGGCCAAACTCTGGCTAAATCCTTATGGATGTGGCTCCTATGGAAACCAGGGGACAATCTTTACATGTACGATAGCTGGGCTACCTCCAACACAACATATAAACCAACTGCCATTTTAAAGATTCAGTAGACTGCTTTTAAGTTTGAGTGAATTTGTTTGGTGTCATTTTTGTAACAGAGGTGGTTAAACTCTGCTACCTCATCACATGGGATACAAAAGTAAGTTTTATGTGTTATGTCCTCACAACAGTGGTAGCTGGGTGAATAAAAAGCTGTGCCCTGTATCATTTAAGTGAGGCTTATTCTACATCTTGTAAACCATATTAATTCAAACCAACTTCTTAAACCACAGTACTTGGTACATAGGTATATAAAATTCAAGGAGCTGCTAACATCCCCAAGCAATCTCTGTAGAGTAGCAAACACCTTCATTGGTTCTCACTGCAGGCAACAGAGCTGGCACAGGAGAATGACAGTGTGAGGGAAAATAAACTGCATGGAAGCACAGAAAGAAAGAAAACAGAAGAGTTTGGCATTTTATTGATCTGCATGAGCAACTTTAGCTGCTGCCAGTGACAAAATCCAGGTTGATAAATGGGATTCTGATGGTGACAACAAGTAGCCCATGAGCCTTAGGCTTATGTGTTTAGGGAGGGGGCAGACAGCAGTAGCCAAGTTACTCTTTTAAACTCATGCCCACATGGAGCTACAGTGAGCAATCACTCCACACCACCCTGGGGAACAGCTGGGTTCAGCTGAGAACCCTGGGCACACACAGATGTAAGAGACAGGTCCAGTTCAGGTTTTATTTGTATTGTAGTACAGTAAGAGTGCAATTTGAATGTACAAATATTGAACAAAATGTAAAAATATTATTTATGCAATGCCATGGAAGGAAATTAACAGAGCAATGCAACTTACTTCATACTGACCCTGTTTCACCTATTATGGCAGGTACCAGTCACCTGCCTGTTCTGGAAAGGGCACAGAAAGCTCTTGAAATCTTAAGGAACTCCAGCCAAAGAACAGCCTAGCAAAATCTGTGGGAAGATGTAAAATTCTCCCAGCTCTGTGCAATGGCAATGCTGTTTGTTCTCAGCTCTACAGGCTGAGCAACTGCCCACCACGGCACTAAGACGAGGGCTGCCAAAAATCTTGATCCAACTCTTCTCCCTTTTGCAAAAGTAAGATTCTGGAACAGTCCTCAGTATATGGGTAGACATTCTCCCATTTAAAGTGCATCTGGTTTACAACTCACATATATACATACCAGCGGCAACAACTTTCCTTGACAAATCATTATAATCCTCCAAAAGACATGGTTGCCTCACCCAAGTACCTGCTGGTGGCAGCTACAGCCGGCTAACAACCCAGTGAAATGCACACATTTGACATCCAGGGTGTGCTGGTGCACCACATGCATTTAAGTATCCTTTTCCTCTGCGCTTGGTCTTTCTCCCTGTCCCTTATTCATTTATAAATCAGACTTTCCAACTAGGAAGTGGTGATTTATAATGGTGAAACAATTCTCCCACCACTGGGAAAACAAACCTATGTTGAATATGAAGCCAGAGTAGCAGTCCTAGCTTTAGCACAGGCTTTTTCTTCCACTCTTGTGGTAACTACTGGAGGCTGGTATGTGCAAACATGAATTAATGTATTTTCTTCTCTTTGCTAAAATCCTTACCTCAAACTATATGTATTATTTTCCTTCATGTATTCACGGACTGTTGCAGTCTCCCGTGTAAAAGGCTGGGACTCTATTGTGCAGCATAAATGAAAAGTCTTCCATGAAGTCAAACTTTATTTTTCAGTTGCAGCCTTCTCTATACTGATCTTTTGGTAAAATACATTAAAGATGCTGGTGGAGAAACTCACATAACATTTCTGTAATCGTGCAAAAGTAAAAACATTCAGTTATCAAAAAAGCATTATAATTTCAACCCCAACAAGGTTTGTTTTGTTACAAGCAAACAGACAGTTTTATAATCTGTAAAGTTATATGCTGTAGCATAAAGTGTCACATATGTAACATTAAGTGTTTCATTTTTAAACTACGGCACAAATATGTATTAGCCATAACAGTCTCATCTGGCTACCTGTAGCCTAATTTTTGGCTAATGCATTTTTATTTTGACAGTATGAAGTAAAAGCTTCTGAAAAGTAAAATGGGTACATGAAGTAGAATTCAAGAATCCTTAGAAAATATTAACGTTCCCTTATATAATACAGCATAAATAATTAATGAAGGTTTCCTTGATGTCCAGAGGCAGTTAGGGATCCTAACCATCCACGGAGAATTAGCGCCATTAGTTTGGTAAATGAGACTGGCTGACTCGGTTGTTACCTTCTCAAAAGCTTCAACACTTCCCAGAAGGATTCAGATGTGTACTGGCTCTAGGAGAATATAAACAGCCCACCAGTGCCGAACGTATGTTTCTTCCTTTCTGAGAGTCCTTACTCAACAGTTGTAGCGAGTCTTTGTGCTTTGAATAAAACATGAGCTCCAGTGGAGAAAGCTGGCTCCTACTCAGTTTCCATTATCTTCAAAGTTCGTTGTGTGAATTTTTCTCCGCAGCTTTGAACATCAGAATGGAATTAAAGATTTTTAGGGCTGGTCCCAGTTTAATGCTCATTATTTTGACTATGTCTGATTGGGTCATTAGCAGAAATGCTTCTCCATCGATTTGCTTTAAAAGAGAAAAGACACAAAGCTATTAATAGGTCTGACAGTGCAGCAGTATAGATGTTTCAGAAAACATGAAAAGAAAATTCCCAGCCGTTTCACACAGCGTAAAGGAATTGCTGAACACAAAACACTTTCAAATGCTTTCAGGATAGCTTTGATTTCAACCTTTTACACAGATCAGCTAGTGCAAAAGGACAAGATGATCTTCTTGCTGCTTGAAAACAACTGTCTGGCTAATTTTTAGCTAACCAGTTCTTATTTTCATACTGACAGTATAAAGTAAAAGCTATTGAAAAGTAAAATGGGTAAATGAAGTAGAACTCAACTGCACTGCAGCAGAGTAATGCTTTTTAACATCTCAGCTGATCCTTTTATGCAAGCCTTCAGAAGAAAGCTTTTGGATTTCACTCCCAGCTTCAGAACTGAAACACCCTTCAGGCCACCCCTTTCTATCCATTAAACAGCAAATTAAAATGAACTTGGTCCCAGATGTAAACAGGGGCCAGGCTACATAAAGCTGCCTCTTTGACACAAACGTAACTTTTTAAAACCCTGAATATTTCTTCTGCCAGGTTTGTAGCACTGCTATTTTAATAAACGTTACAGGTGAATATTCTCCTGTAAGGAAATCATTCTGTCAGCAGGAGTGCTAAAGCCAAACAGGGAGAGCCACAAGGCACTCACTTCCAAGGGCTTCAATAGGGCCAAGACTTGTGTAAACTTCAGGTCACTTAGGTATCTATAGTAAGTTTTCAGGGTAACACAAGCAGGAGAGCTAGGTCTCAAAGCCGACTGTTAACAAATCAGGAGCACTGCTAAGACTTAAAGATACTAATCTGAGATAAAAACCAGTGTAACTGAGTTTCTGTAGGACTAGAAGATAAGCTTTCTGAATGAGATATGATGCAAGGGAAGCCTGCAAGGTACCCCCAGCACTGTGAGTCAAGGAACACTGCAGTGAGAACAGCATCACGTAGTTACCAGAACCGCTTTCTACTCATTTTGTCCACCAGGCTAGGTGGGTTCAGAACCAGAAGTGTGCAAATGTGGGAGTGCCCAGATTTTTGCAGCCTCTTAACATAAGCAGGATGAGGGTTCACTTCCACAGCAGAAGTTTGAACCTGCACCTTCTACTTACTGATGCCAGCCAATCCCAAGCCAGTTGGCCTCACTAGGAGGGCTTTCATTTACTAATTGCAGACAAAGCCTGAGAGCCTGAATGCTAAAGAGAGGAAGTATTTTACACCTCTGAGAATGAAAGTGTTTAGGATTCATCCATCTATGTGGCACTTTCCACCTATTCAGTTGATTAGCAATATGCCAGCTTTTATTTCTCTTCATTTCATTGGTGAGACACCCTAAGTGACATGGGGGATGATCTAGGCCTGCATACCTGCTGCAACTGTAAAATGCTTAACATCTAAGCAAGTGCAGAATGCCCAGAGGTGCAGCCTGTCAGTGCTTTGTTACACAGCTCTAATAGTCATTACAACCTACAGCACAGCCTGGAAACTGTTCTCGCAGGAGATTAGCAGGGCCGTCTGTACGCATTTTCCTCAGGAGGCGACTTCTGAAATCTAAGTACCATAATTATCCTTCCCTTGAAAAGCTGGCTGACTTGGGATATTACAGTATCAGACTCTGCTCATTCAGGTGGTCTGGCTGGGATAAGCACCTGAACTATTCACTCTGGCAATATGTGATCGAACAGCCTGCTTGAAACTGGGCATTAACAAGAGGAACAAACTTCTGAGTGAAAAAGGAAAAGCCAACCTAGCTTACAAAGGCCTATTGTAACCAACTGGCCTACCACTTCCCAATGACAACTTTGGCACAACTATCTTCTCAGATACCAGAACTGCATGCCTAGCATGCTCACAAATTGAGTACACACTCCTTTGAACCTCATCAGAAGCCTTCCAGTCACTTCACTTCCTGCTCACTCAAATCACATTCACAAACTGGCTAGATCACAAGGAAGAGTATGAAAAGACAAGTGTAATTAGATGAAATGCAAAGACTTTTAAGAGGTGGTTATATTGAACCACTGCTCTACTTTATTTGACTTATGAACGTCCTGCATAACTAAAATGACATACTTATGTATTTCCTCAAACCAGATTAAGAGAGAACTTACTTAAGTAAGACACAAAAGCTCCTCCTCTTTTAAAATTAGTTCTAAGTAATTTCAGCTGCAGTAACAAAGCTAGAGAAGCACAAGAGACCTGGCTGATGGCTTTATCCTCTTTACTTCCCACCACTCCACAACCTGCAAACTAACCTTATCTTCCATACATTTGCATCTGGCTTGAAACATATAACTGCTTTATATGTACTTTTAATGATGACATAAAAACAATTGACATAAAATTAATCTTTCCATAAAGCTTTGTATTCTGTGTCTTTTTGAAGTAAGATTCACCCACCTCATCTTTAAACACCTTGCCATGTTCTTCACATCCTGGTAAACTTCGTATAAATTCAGAGACCTGCCACCAAAGTATGCAACAAAAGATGCAGTAAGAACGGTGTTTTCTCAGACGTCTTAAAGATGGACAATCATTCAGGTAAAGGGTTTTAGTGGTTTTTACAGACTCATTAGGTGTCCCACCTTCTGCAAGTGCGTGGAGTCATGCAGCTGGGTGTTTACGTACATTATTCACAAAATCTGGAAACTGAAAGCACACGTGCCACTCTTGTCCACAGGACATCAAAGAGTTGGATATGGCTACTTCCTCAAAAATTACTCAGGTTAATCTATCCATGCAGGTCCAGAACCGTGAATCTTCTCTTTGTGAATCACTTCTCACAAACCAAAATGGTAGCTGCCTTCCTCTTCTTTAATCTTTACAGCAAATAGATTAGCAAATCCTTTTCCCTAGCTCATGCTTCTTTTTTCTCTGATCAGAGGAGAGTCACCTGTCCCAGCTGCATAAAACTGCCATAGTCATAGTTACTTCTGAAAGTAAAGCTGGGACTAGGTCCTGTCTGGCCAAGCATTGAATAGTGACAGGGCTCCCATCTTGGAATCAGCTGTCATGGCCTGACCATCTCCATACTGTCCCTCTCTGCACTGTATTCTCACCCTCCAAAATGGTGTGACACATCCAAACTACGCATCAGGAATAGCTCCTTGGTCCATGCTGACCCCTAAACCATTCCTCCAGAACATCTGTGTGGGTGACAGATGTTACTAGGGTAGACCTTGAGCACCTGATCTGCTAGGCTATACATTTAGCACTTTTCTTTCCCTTTTTAACTCAAGCAAATATATATATACACATACACACACACATATATTTATCTATGACTATACCTATCTATACACTTATGAATTAATGCTTCCAGGGCTGAATGGCAGCTGCGTAGGCATTTTGGGGATCTGTTACATTAGGTCTGGCTGACTCTAATCCTCTGAGTATTAATGCATTATTGTTAATCCACAGGGCTAATCTAAAGCTCTGAATCAACTAAGTCTTCAAGGGCAGTGGCAGTAAGACAAAAGATACAGAGGAAACCTACCTCATCTGTACTCCACTTAGAAACTTTACTGGCTGGGATCCCAGCTACACTTGGAAGGAGCTTGCTCTGCTGTTCCCAGCGCAAGGGCAGGCCAGGGATTTGAAGCTTGGAAGACACAATAACTGGCTGAGAAAGAAGCCTCTGCGTGTTGGGTTCTTCAGCATCTTCAACAACAGGAAGCAACAGACAAGAATTAAATCTCTCAGTGATTAGATCAGTCACAGTATATATAATACATATATAGGCCTCCCTATATAAGCTGTGCAGTTTTGTTCATACCAGAGTTAGAGGACTATGACTGTTGTTATATTTGCTCTACATAAATGCTACTACTCTTACATGGGAGAAGTCTCTTCCAACAAAATACAATTCTATGCCAACATAACTGGTGGCATACCACAACACAGGTCAAATAATTTTAAATATTTTTATACAATGAATCACACCCAGTAGTACAGGAACTAATGTATTTCCAGGGTTGAGCTGTTATAAACTTCATCAAAAGCAGCACTGCTACAAAATTCCAAGTGAATCAGTTGTACAGTTCCAGCCCACACAACATTTATGCCTCATATGCAACAAAATGTTTTTCACTTCTTCTGAGGAAGAAAAACAGATGTCTGCAAATTCCCTGCTCCCACTTTAACAGAATGCTTTATTTGGAAAACATTAACTCCTCCATGCTGCTATGGAGTTTTTTTAAAATGTCATTTCCCTTTTTATCTCATCCTTAATGGAAGGAATGAGGTCCCATCCCACTGTCCTCACAAGTAATGTACTGGTGGGAGGGTGGCTTCAGCCACATGCTGTTGCTGCTGCTGTCTGGAGAGCAGCAGCAATTGCAGACGTGTGTAGGAGGAAAGAGGAGGCATGCCTCAAATGATGTCAAACTGCGTCAGCCATCTACGTTCATCTAGGTCCACTGCAAATGCAAAAGCAACATGCCTGCTATCAACTCAGGCCTGAGTGCTTCGCAGTTGCCAAGTAAAATTGTGGAAAACCTCTGGAACTCATTTCTGAATCAAACAGCCAACACAGAATCTATGCCTAATATTCCTTACTAACAGGGCTCATATAATCACTCACAAATCCCCATGCTATTTTTGTTTGGATCTCTCACTTCTATTACAGCTCCATTCTATTTCCATTTTTGGGAAGTCGGTATTATTCACAGTTCTCGTTATCCTTACTGTTCTAGTTTTCATACATTCATGCCCAATAACTAGGGCACAATTCCTGTTAGAGATTTTTTCCAGCACAATGAGACTAGTCTAGAATATATAGTGGGTCCAATATATGATGTGATTACATTTGCTTGTATTGTTCTGCTCCTTTAGCTTAAATTTTTGTTATTTTCAAGACTTATCCTCATTTTATATCAATGTTGATTATGCAGAAGTTGACTCTTAAGCCATTTAGTCAGTATTGTCAGCCCACTGATTTAATTTTTAAATAGACTCTAATTTTTTCCTACCATCATACTCTTACTCTTGGAAGTGAGTTCCCTAAATGCCTGTTTACACTTCACTGTTCTTCGAAATGTTCCATAGAGCTTCTTACTAATACTAAAAGTCTCAGCAAGAAAGAAGAGAGTGTTGTAAGGCAGCAAGTATACTGAACGTAGTGCCTATTTTATCAAACAGTATCTTTTTCATTGTTCCCTTGAATCCCCTCCTCATCCTTATGCCTTGATTTTTTTTTTCTGAAAGAAGGTCTCTTAAGAGTTGAAAATGTAAGTACTCAGCTATTTTTTTTGTTTTCTCAAAACATGTAATACACTGGTACTGTAACATAAATAGCAGATGACAATACTGTGTGAAGAAACTTCCAAGCAGACTGCACTCCATTTTCACACATTTAAACATATGTATACAGAAGAGCATATAGGTACATGCATAGTGAGTAGCAGCCATGCCAGCTAAGGTTACCTCTATCCCACATCTCTATTTTCAATATTTTAGAGCTGTGTCAAATCCTAACAGTCCCAGATGAAAACTCTGTGCTGGGCATTTGTCCATCCTGTGTTTTTTTGCAAACTTCAAGCAAATAAAGCTCAGCTGGTTATGAATGAGGTTAGCAGAAAGCAAGTTCACTAATGTGACACACCACAATGTTAAACTTGTTCTCCACCTATTCACACTCAAGAGCTCTATTTACTGACACAGAAAAGAATGCTGTTGATATTGTTGTTAAAAATGCCTCTTCTTCTCAGCCTGTGTTTATCTGCCTCACAGATAAGATAAACAGGACAAAATGAGCATGTAAAGTGCTTATTTACCCAACTAGGTGGAGGAAAATAAAAAAACCAAAGTCCCCTTCCCTGCAGCAGGTATGACACATCCCTGACAAAAGGAAGTTTGGGTTTAGTGTGGGTAAATCCTTGTGAAAGCCAGTGCAAATCACAGTATTTTGACTACAATCTGTGTTTGTAATACCAGACATCTCAAAGTTCTCCCTACCCTCATGCTCTGATATTCCTTGCTCTGCTAGCCCTGCTTCCCTTAAAGAACCAATCTGATTTTGTGGGCCAGAGAAAATACATGATGTACTCCAGTTTATGTCTCGATTTGGTCATTTAGGAGAACAGTAACTTGAGGTGCACTATTGGTTAGCTACTTTAATCACAGAGCCACAAAGAGCAACTTGAACCATGTCAGTGAAGAAAAATCCACTTGCCAGCTCCATGTGAGATAGCAAAGCCAGATGCAGTTAAGTTCACACTTTTAACCCTGACCACTGTCCTTCTCTGTTCATTTTGTTTCAGCATCAGCCCACCTGCCTCTACATTCTTCTTCATACTTAATGCCATCTTGTTATCCTTCTCCCTGAACTATATTTCAATTCATCTCTATCTTCTTAGTGATCTATCATCCAACAAAATGTAACCCAATGCTTCAAAGAAGCTAAATGGCCAACATTTTCTGGCATTAATGATAAACCATTAACAGTAGCTCCTCACATGTATCACTTTTTTAAGCATAGGATTTGTGTCTGTAAAAAAGCCTAGTATGAAGGAGCCATGATTTCAGTGGAGTTCCTTAGTTCTAAATAATCTTTCTCCAAAAAAGGGAAGATAGCAGTACACATTTTATAAAGTATCAGCAGAGAACTGGTCAAGTGAGTACAGCAAAAGTAGATTGAAGAATAATAATGTAAATGACATGCAGAAAAAATAGGGCAACAAGCATAGGTAGCAGCAGTCACAGTTCACTGAAGTCTGCATAGCTGCAATTATTTTAGCTTGAGCTTTCCATGACTATGATAGCAAGAACTCAACGATCCATTTTTATCCTAAAGTATTATGGCAAATTTACACAAATAATGACACAAAACTATGTATATAAAAAGGAGGTATAAAGGACAACTTTGTTAATAATGTAAGAAAGAAAGCATTGTAGTTTTATAAACTTGATTATGCAAGACTCTACACAGAAATGTATCCTAGCAAGCAAAGCTTGTTGTGAAACTTTATTCAGATAGTCAATTTTGCCCAACTTAAAATGCTTTATAAAAATCAGGCAGTTTTCTTAGAATTAAAAAAAAAAAAAAAAAAAAAATTGCAGACAATTTAAAATGCTCCAAAATATTTGATTTTCATTTTTTTGCACCATGTTCTATAATGCAAAGTCAACATCAAAACAGTGTGTTTCCATTCTGCTGGAATGAACTACTCTAGGTGACCAAAACCTCCATTTGTTTCACCTGCTTTAGAGAGAGTCTTCCTTTAATGCTTCATTTTCTCCAGAATTCTGAACTACTTTGTGTTTCAAAACACCATAACAACCTGGATTTTTCTTACACCTTTTGCACAGCCCTTGTAATAGATGGAATCTTTCATTCTTCACGTACTCCTCAGAGTGCGTCTTAGATCTACTTGAAATGCGCTGGTAGATGATGTTTTAAGATCAAATAAATGGATTAGAGGTTAACAATTAAACTTAATTTTATCTTATGCAATGCTCTACTCGTCTCAAAGAATTTTCTGGGTTTTACAAGGATGAGCTGACTTAAAAGGTAGGTAATGTAGCCATTCAAGAACCAGTTACTCAAGTCTGAACATTTTTGATGAAAGCCTTACAAATTTAGTGTTGCACAACAAATTGCTGAAGGAAGAGATCTAAAAATTTAAGGAATTAAACTATGAAATTGTAATATAGCTTCTCATTGAGCTTGCACAAGTTACTAAACCATTGCAACAGAAGCTGCACTGAAACAATGCACTGACTCAGTTCAGTAACTAGCCTGCCATACTGTTTCTCAAACACAAAATAATCATCAAATGTAAGACTGACATTCTGGATCTGTGCTGTATTCTTTCTAAACAATGAGGATAAAAATGAATAACGAACAGCTGCCTCAATGCGAACAACTGGCTCAGTGAAAGGCCAAGAATTTTGACACAGAAGTACATACAACCACACAGAATCACTGAACCAAAGCCCCTACTGGAAAGGACCTTTGGAGACCGTATCATGCAACCTGCTCTTAAGATTAAGGTGCTAGACTAAGTTATCCAGGGCCCTATTATGCCAAGTCCTAAATACTGCCAGCAAGAAAGATTCCACCTTTTTTCTGGGCAGCCTATTTCAACTGTTCTTATGGTGAGAAGCTTCTTCCTTATATTCAGACAGAATTCCCTCTGAATCAAGTCCATTCCTTTTTTTCCCCATCACTGTGCATCCTGGAGGAGAGGGTATCTCCATCTTCTCTATAACTACCTTTTAGTTGCTGAAGGACTGTGACTAGATTCCTCCAAGCCTTCCCTTCCCAAATTCCTTCAACCTTTCCTTCCTGTGTCAAGTCCTTCAACCACCTAATCCTCTTAGTGGCTCTCCACTGGACTATTTCCAGATTTTCAGGAAAGTAGAAATTTTAGCCATCCCTCTGTAACACTCATGAAAACCAAACGACCTGTTCTGTGTATGGGCTGCTAGAAAGTATCAGTCTGCATAACAGACTGAGGTTGGGTTGAGCAAATCATCTTAACTTTGCATTGTGCCTGTAATGTGTAAATGCTTTAACTTTCTTTCAACACACTTTTGAAGCAATAAATGGACATTATAACTTTATAACTCAGACTGGTTTAATCTTCTGTTTTTAAAAGTCAGTGGAAAAATATTCTTGAAATGAAACTTTTTATACCAGTATTCAATTTGGACTCATCTTCACAACTGAGATTAAGTTCTTAGCAAAGCCTTTCATGATTCCAAGATAAAGAAACAGTGTTAAAAGTGTTGCTGTCAAGAAATTTTTGGACACATGTCATGAATGTGCAAAGTAAGTTGCAATGCAGTTTCATGAAGAATTTCAACAAATACCACACTTCCGTAGTTCTGCTGGTTTTAATACGAAACAAATGAAGTACTGCCAATTTACCTTTAATTTCATTTGAAATGAGTAGCTTATTTTCTGCCTCCTCTTCACACTCTTTGTTCTTTATGGAGTCCTTTGTTTGTAGTACTCCGCTGAGGAAAATAAGGTGTTATTTTTTTTTATTAATACATCATAAAAATTACTAAGCACGATGGTATCTCTTGCTAACAACACTATTAACACACCATGATTCCCATACAAAGGATGTTGTGTCATCATAAAATAAAAAAAGAAAAGATGTAATTTCTGACCTACACCGATGGCATGACTACTGACATGAATCTTGCAATGAAAGTTCAAGAGAAAACTAAGATTATGTAAATCACATCAACACACTTGATTTCATAACAAACCGGAACATATACAGATGAAGGCAGTGGATAGGTCTGTGGCAGAAGACAGGAGTGAAGACCACATATATAGCTGCATCTCCTACAATGTTTTACTGATGATCCAGGCCACTTTCAGGAGCTTTCTGAAACAACATCATCTTTTTCTCTGCCCAACCTTAATGTCCAACCGACTCCAACTTCTATACTATACTGACACACTTGTCCAGCTGTTAATCATCCCACTGAAAATATCTGTATTCTTTTGTTACTGTTTTTGCATTACTTCTCATTCAGTTAAAGAGATGCTCTTTGCTTGCTGCCTGTGGCTGCTCCCTCAGCTTTGCCAGCCCAAGCATTTGCAAAGAGGAAACGCCTTCCCTCTATTGAGAAAAGCGAGGCAAGAAAAGTGGAAGTGAGAGAACTTCTCAAAGTGTGTCCGCAAGGAGTGGGTGTATTTGCATCAGCCTTTTAATATTTTTAACTTTTGCATCTTAACTTTTGCATCTTAACATCAGCCCCTGGAAGCTCCTTTTCAAACTCTGCCTTCAAAAGGTATTTCCACCCTGGCTTCTTTGAGAATTGAAGTTTATATGAACTTGTTGACATTATGTGTATATTTATTTCCTTCTGCTTTTAAGAGCTTGAAAACACTTTGTCCAATTCTTACTAAACCATCACAAATACAGAGCTTATACAGAGATACTAAGTACATAATGAATATTTTCTAAAAACAGGCACCAGACAGAATAATCTTGAAGTCTACAAAAAAGCCCACTACATGATCTATCTTTACTATCTACCAAAGAAGCAGTCAGCAAGAACCCTTTTACAAATGTGCCAAACAGATAAAAGCTAAAACTAGATCTGACGTCAAGATAAGCTAACCTCAAAACACACAAACACAGAAGAAACAGACTTGTTTCATTCCACCATTTACATTTATAATATTAAACACAATTTATATGTGAAATACTATTTATACTATTAAATACAAGTAAGCATTTGGGAATAAACCAGCTAGGAGATTCAAGTTCACTGACATCAACAAAAATATATTTAACACACTATTAATGGTGCATAATAAACACAACAAATTGGAAAATCCAGCCTTTGTAACACGGTAGGTCACAAATAATAGTGGCATGACAAGCAATGCCAGTGGAATGCATAGAGCAGGCATGCTTCCTTGTGCCAAATGAATCTCCACAGTACCTTCCTCAGAAATATCACCTGCATTTATTTACTTAAAAACTATTTTCCTAACTTCCACAAACACAGAAAACTTGTAAAGTAAGATGTTACAAAGTCATGCAATTAATTCCAAAGTGAAGTAAATGATTACTGTAATTCAACATAAGGAATAGAGATCACCAAAACTTGTGAGAAAACATGTATCTTCCCATTTTCATAAGGACAATTTTCAAAACAACATACATCCAGAAATTTTCTCTCACCGCTTAAATGCAAGATAGTATCATGAATCAAAATTTTGTGGAGGGTGTTGGAAGATAAATTGAATTGTAATTGTTTGTATACACAGATACCTCTTACTAGTGAAAAAAAAAAAAAAGACTAAGTGGAACTAGAGACCTAGAACTTCTATGAAAAAAAAGATCACCTGCAATATGGAGGTATACACAACTGTATTGAAGTCAAACATCATTAAAACCTCACTATGAGCTCAGCAGCTAGAAAGCACACAAGTGGATGTATCTACATCTTCAATTATGCATGTGTACTTTGAATACACATCTAAAAAGATCCACTGGGTATTGCAATAACCAGATGCTCAATATTTTATAACAGTTCATATAGACCTATTGTGAACAGTATTTTTCATGCCTTTCTCACAGAAGTTTCTTCAGCTAGAAGTTCTCTCTGTCTATGCTGGACACAAAGAATGTGGGAAAGCTAGATGATGTAATCAGATCATCAGATACTCAAATAGTTCAAATACGAACTGCAAAGGGTCTGGGTGGTTCAAAGTTGTCATGAGGCTGTTATTCTCTAAATGAAAATTATTCAATACAGTGAACATAAAGAACATGGATATTTAAAGTCTTCATAAAGATAACACCTTTTAAAAAATGAAAGGCAAAGATTTTTCAATTTATTTTAAAAGTCTGTAAAGTCAAATTTCATTTCTAAAAAAAAAATGAATTTACTACGACTATGGTTAAAGTGATGAATGACAACTATTATTTAACATGGGTTATTTCAAAACCACATATGAAACTATCTTCTGTCTTTTTTTACTGTTTAAATTCACTTGAGTATGACTAGTTAATACTACTTATTTGTGGTATGGAAATAATATAAACACTGCTTGATGCCCCTCCTAAATATTTTTCAGTACACCCTAAACAATATGACCTGATAGAATAATGTGAAAGAATGTTCTGAAGAAAAGCTGACCAATTTTCTAAGATGCAAAAAAGCTACCCGTTAAGCATAGGTATTTGGAATAAAGGAAACAATTAATAACAGTTTAGAAAAGAAAAAACAAAAAAAGAAAACCAGCCAGATAAGGTTAACCCTATTTGGAAAATAATTTTTTAAAAAAAACCTGCAGAGGCATTTCAGAGGATTTAATTGACTCAATAAAACAGTTGTTTCAATTATCAGCTTTACTGTGAGGTATTTACTGTATAATACCAACTCTCCAAAGTCTCTCAAGACACTATTGCTGTGAACAGTAACAGATCATATACTATGAATGCATGACAAAGTAGCTGACATAAGTATTCAAGAAACTACACTTCTTATTCCAGGGTGTCTTCTATTTCTGTTTCAAATAAGCCAATAAAATAATGCACTGTTATGGTAATTAAAAATGTTGGGAACCCTATTGCCTCACATATCTCTGTGAAAACACTGAATCCTAGCATTCTCTTTCTACTCCAAGCTAGGAAACTGTCATTTTTTGTCAAAAAGATATTTCAAATCCTAAGTGTTAAGGAACTATCTTATAAATCTTTGAATGGACGTACATGTTTGTACATAGACAATAACTTATTTATATATACAGGTAGGGAAGAAGGAGCTCAACTTCCAATAACTTCTCTGTCTTGTAGTATTTTTCCTCTCCTCTCTGATAAGCGTGTCTTATTTTTAAATACACTGTGACACTCCTTCCCTGTTTCTAATATAAAGACAGTTGAAGAACTTCCATCTCCTTCCCCACTGCTTCCAACAGTTCCACAAACAAACTGCTGTACTGCATTACCTAGTAAGCAGCATTTTAAACTGACTCCAAACAACCCATACTTTGGAAGGAATTGATAGTTACCCAGGTGCCTTCTTTTCTTTCACATCACATAACAGGGGTTTCTTGCAAGGAGATTTACTTTCTGCATCTTCCTGCTTCACTGTTTCTGGTAGAGTTTTCCCAGATGTTTGATTGTGAGCTGAAGATTTCATACCTACATGACCAGGGCTGGGGCATTTTCTTTCACTGTTTAAAACAAATTAACAAAATGTTTAAAACTGGAAGAGGTTGAGTTGTTCAACTTATTTTCTCTATGAATAAAGAGTCAGTGTAATTGAAGATCTACAAGGGTTTTGTTTAAGGAATACAGAGAAATTCTTTACTTGTCACTAACGTAATTGTATACTTGGGATTTTCTGAATACACAGTTTCCCCACAAAACCAAACGCAAAACATTTAGGCAATTCAACAGGAACAGAACTTGAATAATGTGATTTGTGATAATAAGCTACCTACTTCAAATACTTGTAACACAAAAAAACCTCTGAAGTGCCATTTTCCTCCTACCCTTCCTATCCCTTCCATGATATACTGCTGTGCAGACAGGACACTTTAAAAATGTTGCCCAGTCTCTTAATTCGGACAATGAAAAAAAGTAGCACTTGACACAGTCCCTGCCACAGAAAATACTGCTCAAACTGTTACTGGCTTCACTGGGATGGTATCTGGGCTGCCTGTCAGAGGGTAATTAAGTCACTTCAGATTTCTACAACCCTACATTTAGAAAAACAGTCAAACCAGGCAGCATGCTTCAACAGCTGAGTATTTTGGTTGTTAAAGTATGAACCTGAAACTGTCTCTGGGAATGTAATTTAAAATATCATCTATTGAAGATACATTATTACAGTGGGAATCAGAAATGTTCACTATGAAAATTTACATTTTCACATTTATATTAATGTAGCCCTTGAAAAGAATGGAAAGCCTCTCTCCTTTTCCTTTCCTTCTTCAACTCCCTGTGTATCCCCACAGGTCAAAATAAGCTCAGGAGTTGATGTCCAAAATTTCTCATAGAAAATTATAATCTGAAAAATGATATCTTGGTATCTTATCCCTTTGGTTTTTTCCCAGTGCTCCTGCTAGAAGCTTCAGCTAGAGACTTTAGCATCATTCTTGCAAAATTCACTCCCAGTAATTTGATTCTCAACTCCCACAATAACAACAGAATTTATAGTGGCTATTCCTCAAAAAGCAACATTAATTTGCAGACACATCAATAAGGCCATCCCAGTAAACAAGCGAAACACAAAGAAATAATTTTCTTAAGTGAAACCAACTGGCAAACAATACATTTTAAATTCCAATTAACCACTTAGTACTCTAGGTAATTAAATTGAAGATGAAACCTAACTCTTGTTAAATTGCATAGTCTTTGGCAGCTCAGTGACCTTATCAATAAGCACTGATGAAACATTTCTGCCCTGTAAATGATAATGCAGATAAATAGGCAGGCTCTTCTGAAACCATACAGACATTACACAACTACACGCTGCAGAACACTGAAATAAAGGCCTGCTCTTATTCACAGACATTGTTTCAATCTTAATTACTTGATTACAGGAGAGATGGATCTTTCACTTGCTTCCACTTTTCTGTTTCTGGGGACAGGACTGGCTGCAGGCATCTCCCCACTGAGCCGGTCGGGTAAGAGGCTTTCTTTGTTCAAGTTCATCTCTGAATACGGGCAGCTGACTGCGCTGCAAGGTGAAGAAGAGAAATGTCTCCTTATCATTACAAACTTCACTGACTTCACTCAGTTCAAATGAAATGACATCTGAGACCAGTTTTCTAGAAGCAGATGCAATCAATTAATATAAGGAAGATTAGGAAAAAAAAATCAGTTAAGTAATCAACTTTAAAATGTTCATAAATCCAGTGATTAAAAACCTCCACCTATAATATACACCATATATAATACAGTATTACAGATGTTAATAATAATACATTATTA